AAAAACTTTCGGAAGGCATAACTTTTGACTCGGTTGTCCGATTTGGATAATTTTTTTTTTTCAAATTGCGTATTTTAGTTTTTTATGTATTTAGATCTTTTGAACACTTTTACAAAATGCTTATTTAGCTCTTAATTTTAGTTTTTTATGTATTTAGATGATTTAAACAATCTTTTGAACACTTTTACAACCACTTTCGTAAATAGTTTCTAAGAAATAACTATGGAAACCTTATGTTTTATTACTAAATTTTCAAAAATTTTAATTTTTAATTAAAAAAAATAAATAAATAAAAAATATCGGCGCCTTGGCGCCTAGGGGGCGCCTAGCGTGTTTTGCAACATTGATAAAAGTTAAGAGTACACTTTAGTAGTAACTAGAGACACTATATCTAACTTCTATTGATAGTGGAATTTGTTTGGTAGCCTCTAGATCTTATAATTTTTTTCTCAATAATAATTTGGTTTCTAAGTAGATTTTGATATGTTCTTTCTATTAAGTTAATTTTTTTTTTCTAATGTTTGTATATTATTTCGTGCTATATGTTAAATATTTTGACATATTAAAATGGGGGCAAGTTCGATTTCCAGAGGGAGTGACCTATTGGCCTTCTCAGTTTGAGTCGATCAACTATAAATAATTTAGACTATTTTAGGTCATTTTTCAGCTAAGGTCACAATGTAGGATTTATACAACACGCACTCTCAAATAGTAGCTCTAGATTTTTCTCGTCATCCACAAAACAAAAAAAAGGTGATAAATTTATCCCAATACTAGATGGCTCAAGATGTGCATTAAAAAACACGTAATCGTTATTCAATGGTGTATCTTAATTTATAATTTTGATGCTTATAAATTTAAATCAAAATTTACGTCCAATAGAGTATGTATGTAAGACAAACAAATTTGTACATATGAAAAAAAATTGTACTACGTACATATGAAATATAAATCATCACTAATAATTGAGCACGTGTTATAGCATATTTAATTACATTTAACTTGTGTCTGCAGATAGGGAACCACTGCCCACTGGGGTATACCGCATACTGTACTGGCATCTGGCTGGTCATCCGCAATTTATATCGTGCATCACGGCACACATAATAATGTGTGTTCAGGCACAAAACGCGCGTGTTTCATACTGACATCATTCCGTCTATCCTTACAAACCAAATCTCATTATGTGTATTTAGTAAAAAATTTATGTGTATTGTGTTATGAGTTTATGTGTATTCAGTTAAGAGTTTATGTATATTATGTTAACCAAACTCATTATGTGTATTCAGTTAAAAGTTTATGTGTATTGTGTTATGAGTTTATGTGTACTATGTATTATGTAAGATTATGTGTATTCTGTTATGAGTTTATGTGCATTCGAAACAGGAAATTTTTTTTTTAACAACTTAATAAACCGACGTCGTTTTGGAAGACGCGAGGCGCATAGTGCTATGTGCACCCTGGTGTACGGGATAACGATTGTCGATTGATGGTCATCAAATGGGTTAAAAGGAATTCTTGAAGATTATTTTATTTTCTTTTTTTTAGGTAATATCCGTGCAATTCTAATCACTTATTAACTTTGTTAAAAATCTAATTCGAATTGACATATTTATATTTATTATATATAAGAAAGAATTATTTTGTTATAAATAAATAATAAATATGGACATTATGTTAATTGATATTGTAACGGACGTAACGGTCCGTTAATTAAGCCTACCATTATTGTATTCGTTACATTAGCATTATATATAAAGAAACATGTACTGTATTGTATATTGGTTAATGGAAATCCTGATTACCTACATTATTATCTACTCTCTCTCTCTGTCTGTCTTTTACTCTTTACATTATCGCTATTCGATTCATTTAACTGATGAAAACGCTAAGGGCTAAAGGGAATCATAACACGTTATCAATATACTTCTTCGGTGAACGCAAAGTTTTTCTGATCTGCACCGTGCGGTCGGCAATTGTGTTCCAGTGGAGGGAAGCGGCGGTTGTGTGTGGTCGCGCTATGATTGACGATTGACGATTGCAATTGGAAGTCGCTTCTCAATGCAACGGTTATGAAGGTTTTTTTGCCGTTCTGTGTTTTCATCAATCGGTTAATAGGCATGGGTTTATTCCCAGTTGTTATACACGTATACAGTGGACCATGATCCATAGTGCTAGGTGGACCATGGTAGTCAAATGAAACTATAGTAGAATTTAAATGATACTCTAGCATTGCTATAATGAAACTAGTGTGTGTGAAAAATGAAACTAAAAAAAAGCAAAAGTTCATTTAAAAACGTATATTGTCACATGAAACTGTAGTATAATTAAAATGATACTTTAGTGTTGTTATAATGAAAAGATGAAACTAGGTGTTTTGAAAATGAAACTAAAATTCAGAGTCATACAATAACATATATTGTCAAATGAACCTAGAGTGTAATTAAAATAGTACTTTAGTAGTACTTTAATTATATTACAAAAAATTTCAAAAAAAAAATAGTACTTTAATATTACTATAATTAAAGTAGTGTGACCAGGACTATGTGGTCCAATGGTACCCGGGTTGGACTTCCATTTGGAAGATTGTGAGTTCGAACCTCAGTAGAGGCGTTATTAGCTCTTTGTGTTTCAGTAGGTTGAGAAAGTATATGAACAGATACTACATTCTAATAGAGCTAGTAGCATTCAAAAAAAAAAAAAAAATAATGTATATTGTCAAATGAAATTGTAGTAGAATTAAAATGATACTTTAATATTGCTATAATGAACTAGTATGTGTGGAAAATGAAATTGAAAAACGGAACAATATTGTCAAATGAAAATGAAGTGTAATTAAAATGATACTTACTTTATGGACCACACTGCTACATGCACCATGGTCCAAAGTAAATTTTACCCGTTTATTCCTTGCTTTATAAATTACTTGTGGGGTTTGGACCTTTTTTGGCCAAATTATATTATTCAAATTATTATTTGAATTTTTATGTGCGCATATATTAAATTGTTCATATTGCACTTTATATGAGTTCATATGATGTTCAAATTACCAGGACTATGTGGTCTAATGGTACTCGGGTTGGACTTCCATTTGGAAGATTATGAGTTCAAGCCTCAGTGGAAGCGTTATTAGTTCTTTGTGTTTCAGTAGGTTGGAGGCGTCTTTTGTATTTGGTGTTTGATTAAAATTTTATTTTTCTATCAAATTTCGTGGGGAATCCGAGTGTACCCAGTTCTTTATCGGTGGATGAAATATTATTAGTGCTATTAGATTTATTAGTGCTATTAGAAATCTATGTATTTGAGTCAATCTAAATCTCCTACTCCTAGTTACTATGTGACTCTTTACTGTATATATTCCCATCACCTGAACTCATTGTAATTATGTTCTGTTAATACAATTCCATCATTTCTCATCTGGTATCAGTAAGCTAGGGTTTTCTTTTTTTCCCTATGGCTAACGGATTTGTTAATTCCTCTGAACGGACCGTTTCTGATGCTACTATTTCCTCTAGTTCTTCTCCAATAACATCTTTGTCCACCGCCCACCACTTCATTAGCACAAAATTAATCTACAAAAATTTCTTGTTTTGACGAACACAAGTTGTTCTGTTTTTATATGGACATGATTTAATGGGATTTTTTGATGGCACAAAGTCATCGCAACCTGCACTCCTTCCGGCCGTCGGCGATACCGCCGACTCCCTCCCACGGTTTAATCCTGAGTATGGATTATGGATGCGCCAAGATCGAGCATTATTGTTTATGCTTGTCTCCTCCCTCTCCGACGAGGTTATGCCCTTAACCGTCGGTCGTTGTACGAGTCGTGCCCTTTAGGAGGCTATCGTTCAAGCTCTATCCTTTTCCTCACGAGCTCGCACTCTAAATCTTCTTGGTCAGTTACAAGGTTTAAATCAAGGTGACTCATCCGTAGCAGACTACATCGGCCGTGCACAGGTAATCATTGAGGAACGAACCCTGGCCGACCAAACCGTAACCCTAGATGATCAAAATCTATTCGTCTTTCGCGGTTTGAGGCCGGTGTTCCGGGCATTGACGACCTCTCTTTCCGTTCGAGGTCAACCAATAACCCTTCAAGAGTTGGCAGATTTCCCCGGCGCCCATGAATTTATCTCCAGTTGGGACTATGGTGGTCCCCAGGCGGCATTGGCGGTTCGACGTGGTGGCGGTCGGTCAGGCCATGGTGGTCAAAATCGCGGCGGAAATCAATGAGGCGGCGGCAGAATTCAGAGTCGCGGTGGTGGAGGCCGGCAGCAAGGTGATCGCGGTCGTAGCAATAACGGAGGAGGTAATCCGGTCACGTGTCAAATTTGTAGACGGACCAGTCACGAAGAGGTTGCATGTTACAATCCGTATGACCCACCACCTCCGGCCAATATCACCTACCCAAACAATTCAGATATTGGTGGGTCTCAGATGTGGATTCCAGACACTTGTGCTTCCAACCATGCTACCCCAGATATTGCTGCCTTAACCACTTCGGAGGAATATATTGGTAACGACACTTTACGTGTCGGTAACGGAATGGGTTTATCTATTAGTCATGTTGGTCATGCTTCTTTCAACACCCCTTCTCAGTCTTTTCAATTGTTTGATATTCTTCATGTTCCACGTTGGTCAAATTCTTTATTATCTGTTCAAAACTTTGCATCTGATAATAAAGTTTTTTTTTTTTTTTTTAAGTTTCACCCCAACTTTTTGGTTGTGAAGGATATCAATACCAAGGAAGTTCTTCTTCGGGGCAATAGTTTTGGGGGATTATACACTCTACCGCTGCCAAACACGTCTCCCTCAGCTTTCTTTTCAGCCCGTGCCTCAGCATCAGTTTGGCACAATCGTCTAGGTCATCCTCATCATCATGTTCTTAGTCGTATTCTTCAGTCTTCTTTAGTTCGTGGGTCTTTAGTTAGTCGTGCAAATAATTTATGTAATGCGTGTTAATTGGGTAAATCCGCCTGTTTTCCCCTACCACGTGTTACTTCTTCTAGTTCGCATGTTCTTGATTTAATGTACACAGACATTTGGGAACTTGCTCCTCTTTTATCTACAAATGGGGACTTGCTCCTCCCTATGAAATTGAAGTCTGATCTTTATGTCATATTTGATAAGTTTTGCATACTTGTTGAAAGGTCATTCAATTGCAAAATAAAATCCATTCAATCTGACCTAGGTGCTGAATATAAAAAATTGCACAACTCTTTTGTCCAATTAGGAATCCAACATGGGCAATCCTGTGCATATACACATGAACAGAATGGTCGTGTTGAGCGTAAGCATCGTCACATTGTTGAAATTGGTCTAGCTCTCCTAGCTCATGCTTCTGTTCCTTTAAAATTCTGGGATTTTGCTTTTGAGACAGCCACTTATTTAATTAACAGAATGTCATCTTCTGTGTTAAATAATTACAGTCTCCATCATTTAATTTGTTGCATAAATCTCCTCTATCCTACTCTTTTCTTCGTGTCTTTACCTGTCTGTGTTATCCTCATCTTCGTCCATACAATCGTCACAAAATGTCATACAGATCCTCTCCCTGTGTCTTCTTAGGTTATCCGGATTCCTTTAGGGGGTATAGGTGCATGGACCTTCAGACTAACAAGATTTACACATGCAGCCATGTCAGATTTGATGAAGAAAATTTTCCCTTTGCTACTAAATCTTCTTAACAGGATTTGTTTCGATATTATGAAGCTCCGTGGTCGAAATTTGTTTTAACTCATCAACCCGCCACCATGCCCTCGGATGTTGTGCCCCATCATGCTCCTCCTCCGGATCAGCCGCCACCTGCCGGCGTTCAGCCGGCCATTTCCGATGATTCTGTCACAGTATCGGCTGACGTCGCGGCTCCACTACAGTGACGGCGAGGGCGCCCTCGCGGTCGGTCCACCAGGCCTGCTGAACGGACTCATTATATGGCTACTCGTAGCAGGTTCGAAGCAACACTTACGGCTCTATCGACTCAGGTTATTCCTACGGAACCCACATGTTATTCTCAAGCTGTAAAATATCTTGAGTGGCGTGATCCTAAGGACCAAGAATTCAATGCTCTCTTGCAAAATCATACTTGGGCTCTAATTCCTCCCACCACAGGTATGAATGTTATTGGTTGTAAATGGGTTTTTCAGACAAAAAGAAAAGCGAATGGTACTATGAGAGACATAAAGCAAGATTAGTGGCAAAAGGGTTTAATCAAGTGCCTGGCCAGGATTTCTTTGACACATTCAGTCCTGTGGTAAAACCTACAACTATAAGAATTCTTTTTTCTTTAGCCTTATCTTCGGGATGGGCTATCAGGCAATTGGATGTTCATAATGCCTTCTTGAATGGTAATCTTGCTGAAACTGTTTATATGAAGCAACCTCCTGCTATGTTGATACTAATTTTCCATCTCATGTCTGCTTGCTAAAGAGATCTCTATATGGATTAAAACAAGCCCCTAGAACCTGGCTTAATCGTTTGCATGCCTTTTTATTATCAGTTGGTTTTCAAGCATCCAAAACATATGTCTCTCTGTTCTTTTATTCTAAGGATTCTGCCTTAGTCTATATGTTGGTCTACGTGGATGACATTCTTGTAATGGTAAGTGATCATGTTTTGGTTTCCCACTTAATATCAAAACTGTCCTCTTGGTGAGACAAATTTCTTTCTAGGTATTGAAACTGTTAAATGCAATGATGGTATTATTTTATCTCAGCAAAGGTATATGAATGATATTCTTAAACGTGCTGGAATGACTTATTTCAAGACATGTTCCATTCAGTGCATAACTGCATATACATATGATGATCCTACACAGTACAGGAGTCTAGCTGGTGCTTTACAATATCTCACAGTCACGCGCCCTGATTTATCCTTTGCGGTTAATCAGCTCTGTCAACACATGCATGCCCCCACTGTATCACACTGGGAACAGCTCAAGCATGTGCTCAGGTATGTCAAGGACACTCTCGGCCTCGGGTTGCGCATTCGGTAGTCCAGTTCAAAGGAAATTCATGCCTTTTCTTATTCGGATTGGGCTGGTTGTCCAGAAGATCGTAAGTCCACGAGTGGGTATGCAGTCTTTTTAGGAACTAATCTTATATCTTTGGTTTGCAAGAAACAGAGAACCGTTGCTATAGATCTTCCACTGAAGCTGAATACAAAGCTCTAGCTGATGTTTTTGCTGAGGTTTTATGGATCATGTCATTATTACGATAGATACAGGTGCCGGGAATTTCAACTCCAAAGCTCTGGTGTGACAATCCATTTTAAGCACAAAACTCATGCACCTTAAGCACAAAAACACATGCATCTTAAGTTTCAACAACTATTCACATTAAGCACAAGACTCACGCACCTTAAGCACAAGACTCACTCACCTTAAGCACAAGACTCACACACCTTAAGTTTCAACAACTACTCACATTAAGTACAGACCCACTCACCTTAAGTACAAAACTCACGCACCTTAAGCACAAGTCTCACGCACCTTAAGTACAAAACTTACGCACATTACTCACCGCACAACCACACGGGAAATATGCACCCACATCGGAACTTAATAATATATATATATATATATATATATATATATTAGTGCAACTAATCTCACTAACACATTTTTCTCAGATATTTGTTTGAAAGAGAGTTAGTTGCACTAATATATATATATATATATATATATATATATATATATTAGTTAGTACTATTATATTGTTCTAGTGTAGGAAACTTACATTGAAAGGGTGTGTACAATGGAAAATACTACATATACTCCTTTTCTTTACTCCCATACTTCAATATTGATATAGACACTTTAACAGGGACCACATGAAAGAAAAAAAAAAAATCTATTAGAGTCCATAATTTATTAGTGCCCGTCATATCAGGAAGTAAAATTTGATAGTATATATAATAGATCTCGTGTACAAATAGGGAACCACTTGCCAGTGGGGCATATATACAGGCTGGTTACCTACATGGACAACTCAACTGGTCATAGAGGTGAAAGTTTAGAAGAATGATCAGGGATTGAGTCTCACCAGCGGCAGTGTGGGAGCAACCTCTCAAAGTGAGGGGTTCCTTGTGCGCAGTGAGCAAAGATAACCTGTGTGGTTCATGTTCAGTTGAGTTAACATGATTTTCATCCCAAATGTTCTGTTCGGTCGGGGTGTGAGGGCCCTTAGAGTTGAGGTTCAACCTGTTGGAGGAATATATATATTATGGTGCGTTGAGGAATAGGGAAGCTATTAGTGTGATTAGCTAACTGCACTGAAACTGTAAGACATGGAAGCCCAAAGACCACATGCAGTCTGCATTCCAGCACCAGGTCAAGGCCACATATCCGCCATGCTCAAGCTAGCTAAGCTTCTTCATCACAAAGGCTTTCACATTACCTATGTTCTCACTCAACTCAACTACACCCACATCATGCAAGCCAGAGATTTCCGCCCTCTCAATCAAGCACCCACTTTCTGCTTCGAAACCATCCCCGACGGCATTCCGTCAAGGGAAACCCGCAATAGCGCAATAGATCTGGTCGAGATCATCTTTTCCATTTCCAAGAATTGCTCTGCTCCGTTCAGGGCGCTGATTCATAAGCTGAACGTAGCGTCGGATGTTCCTCCGGTTTCTTGTATAGTTTCCGATGCTTTTATGTCGTCCACCACTATTGGAGCTGCCCAGGAGCTTGGAATTCCGGCAGTAGTGTTTTGGCCTTTTAGTGGCGTCGGGAGTATGCTCCACCTACACTCTCTGATCCTCCGCGACAAGGTATCAATAAACAACAAAGGTATGAAAAATCTCTCTCTCTCTCTTAGCTTATAACATCAATATAATATATATATATATATCTTTTTCAATTTATACAGATGATGACTATATTATTGATTGGATCCCGGGAGTGAAAAGTATTCGTCTAGGGGATATCCCAACCTCGGCTTGGTCGCCCAATCCAAATGACCCCATAGTTGACAACACAATTTCTCAAGTTTCAGGAAGCTACAACGCTTCTGCTGTCATCTTTCACACATTTGATGAGCTAGAACCCCAGGTGTGCAACGCATTGCGTTCTATGTTCAATCGAGCCTACACTATCGGACCCATTCCACTGCTTCTCAAGGGGTTTCCAGAAAGTGATGAAATTAACCAAATTGAATGTCACATGTGGAAACAAGATCAAGATTGTTTTCAATGGCTCAATTCCAAAACTCCAAAATCCGTAGTTTATGTAAACTTTGGTAGCATGGCGGTTACCAGCCCTGATAAGCTGGTAGAGTTGGCAATTGGCCTGTGCAAAAGCATGCAAAACTTCTTGTGGATCATCCGCCCCGAACTCATTTCTGGCAACTGGTCTGAAATTCTCCCTCCCCAGTTTATGGATGCGATCAAGGGCGGCCGCAGAGGCTATGTGTCCCATTGGTGCGATCAAGAACAAGTGTTGAACCACCCTTCCGTCGGAGGGTTCTTAACCCATTGCGGATGGAACTCGATTGTAGAAAGTATGAGCGCGGGAGTGGCAATGATTTGTTGGTCATCTTTCGCGGAACAAGGACTAAACCGATTGTGTTGTTGCTCCGAATGGGGGTTTGGTCTAGAGATAGAGCTTGATGTTAATGGAGAGAACGTTGAAAGTGTGGTGAGAGAGCTAATGGAAGGAGAAAAGGGTAGAGAGGTGAAGAAGAAGGCATTTCTTTGGAAGGAGAGAGCTGAGGCGGCCATTGGTGTTGGAGGTTCATCATTTTCCAATTTGGATAAGTTGATTGGGGAAGTGTTGTTAAGTGGTTGCCGACAGTTTAAAAACTAAGACCTGGGAATTTGTTATTTTTCTAGGTTATTCAATTGGGGTTAATTAATTTGCCCAACGTTTAGTATTTTGTGAATAAGAAAGGGAAAATGACATTTTTCCCTCCTGTGTTGTTTACTTAAAACACATTTTTGTTCTGTGTTATTTATATAACCACTTTATCTTTTTTTTTTTTGAAGGTCAACCTGGCTACGTTGTATTTATAGATAAGTTGAAATAGAATTCGGTGGGACATTGTCCCAGTACTTAGCCGTAGCGAAATCAAAAGTTGTAGTAGCTAGGGAATGAGCTAATAAGTTCTGTAATCTATGAATAAAAATAACTAAGCAGAAAGTAAAAGTAAATATGTAGGTTCTGCAACTATCAATAGCATAACCTAGATATGAACGTGATGTGGTAAGTGGTCTAGACAGATAACTCTGTAGCAACTGACAGTCCGTGTGAATTTGTATAACCTGTTTATCCCGCCTTTTAAGCTAGGATAAGGCTTCCTTGCATGCAAATGCCTCGGCCATGAGTGGGGAGAAGCAACCTATCAGGGGGCACTGAAAGCCGACACATACCGGTCATCGGCGTCGAGAAGAACTGCACCAACTGTAGCCACATTTGTTCCGTGATGGTAGTCTGCATCTATGTAACATTTCTTTGGCCTTGTCATCGTGCCATGTGGGAGAGCAGGATGGCTGCGTGGTGGAGAAAGTGGACGCCCAGCGTCCTGCGTGGCTGCGTGTAACCCCTTTATCCCCTTAATTGTTTTTAAAGTGACTATTTCTTCTCCTCTTCATTAAATAAATGTTTAGATTGTTAAAAATGAGATAAAAATGATATTTCACTTACTATTAGTATTAGTATTACTATTACTATTGGAGAGGTCGTTCAATTCACGTACGGCAAATATGTTCACGTAATTAAATAATAATAATAATAATAATAATAATAATAATAATAATAATAATAATAATAATATGTTCACGTTCACGATCGCAAATATGAACAACCCCTCCTTCAATAATAATAATAATAATAATCATCATCATCATCACCATCACCATCACCATCACCATCACCATCACCATCACCATCACCATCACCATAATAATAATAATAATAATAATAATAATAATAATAATAATAATAATAATAATAATAATAATAATAATAATAATAATAATAATAATAATAATGAAATATCATTTTTACCCTCATTTTTAATAATCCAAACATTTATTTAATAGAGAGGGAGAGAAATACCCACTTTAGAAACAATTGAGAGGGATAAAGCGATTACATAAACAACATAGGGAGAAAATGTGCTATAAGTAAACAATACAGGGAGAAAAAGTGTCATTTTCCCAATAAGAAATAATAGAGTTATTTGTACTATTTCTGTAAGTTAAAATAAATTGATAATGCAACATTTGTATACACTACTGGAAATTATGGAATTTCCAACCACCTGAAAGTGATCTTAAATCAAGTTGAAAGCCTTGTTTCGACCACTTTTGGTATTTGAAAAAATCTTTGTTGTTATTTCCGACCACATTTTACTTTCGAATTGATTTAAGGGTGTGTTTGGAAACCCGAAAAATGATTTCCAGAAATCATTTTCCGGATTTTTGGTGTTTGGTTGTGCAAGGAAAATGGAAGTCAAAGGAAAATGTCACATAGTCAATGGAAAATGAGGCCTCTTTTCCGGAAAATGACTTCCCCTTTTTTGGGGGGGAAGTCATTTTCCATTCTTTGCTCTCTCATCTTTTGGCCAAAAAATTTCCACAACTTCACCAACACTTATTGTCTCCTCCTCGAATTTAGTTCTCGGATTTGTAACCGTACATTTTTCGGCGAGCACTGGTGTCCGACCGGAGACCAGAGAGCACTGCTCTCTGGTTTCCAGCCGGAAACCAGAGAGAGATTCTCTCTGGTTTCCGGCCGAAACCAGAGAGCACCTGCTCTCTGGTTTCCGACTGGAAACCGTCGGAAACCAGAGAACACGGTCGGAAATCAGAGAGTATTACTCTCTGGTTTCCGCTGTTTCTTTTTTTAAAAAAAAAAAAATTTATAACTTTTTAATAGATAATAATATTATTTGATTGTTCTAAAAAAAATTATTTGATTTCAAAAGCATAATTTTTTTTATATTTTAAACAAAATAATTAATTATATAAACTGCTTAATTATATAATTCTATCTCATTTTCCAGAAAATGAACCAAACACACAAAAGACAGTTTTCCGTTTTGTAGCCAAACACGTGAAAGGAAAATATTTTCTGGAAAATAACTCATTTTCCAGAAAACATTTTCCAGAAGTCATTTTCCTGCTTTCCAAACGGACCCTAAAATTAATTTCAGATGATCGGAAATTCTATAATTTCCGGGAGTGATAATTCAATTTATGTCAAAATTTACGTCCAAAAGAGTATGTATGTCAGACAAACAAAAATGTACGAACGAAATATAAATTCACTCCAGCTGGCCTAGTGTATTCATCCTAGAAATTTTACCATTTGTAAAATGATGTAACATGCTTGTATGTAAAATATTTTTATTTATTTATTTTGGTTACTTAAGTGTCTTGCAAGTTTTCTGCTTTTTAAAAAAGAAAGGTCAAGCACCTTGTGTTCAAATGACACCCGGATTGAATTCCCATATGGGAGGTTGTGATTTCGAGCCTCGGCTCTTTGTGCTTCAGTAAGTTGAGAAAGTAACTATGAACAGATACTACATTGTAATAGAGTCAGTAGCACTGATTTTATTTTAAAAAAAATAGTAGTGATATTTTCGTAAATAATTGAACATTAAACTGCAAATAAAATGTATTACAAGTACAATTAGCAGTTTCATATAGTGCACCTCAGTGCATGTAAAATATATTACAAGTGCAAGTAAAATGTATTACAGGTACAAGTAAAATTTAAAGTGAGCATCAATACTAAGTGCACATAACGTTATAACTAGGTGCACCTATAGTTATAAGTAGTTGCACCTAGGTGCATGAATGTTGAGTAAATACCCAAAATGTCCCTCGACTATAGCTAAATTCACAAATTGGTCATTGACTTTCAATTTCAACCAATTAAGTCCTTAACTTTGCAATTTTGACACGATTTGATCCTCCATCTATTTGACCGTTTGTTAACCGTGATCGACGATCTCCAAAAGAACCTTCAGCTCTCGTCGGAGCACGTGGAGGCCTCCAGGATGACGTTGCACCGGTTCGGAAACACGTCGTCTTCTTCGCTCTGGTACGAAGTCAACTACATTGAATCCAAAGGGATGATGAAGAAAGGCAACCGGATTTGGTAGATTGCTTTCGGAAGTGGATTCGAATGTAACAGTGCGGTCTGGAAATGCAATCGGAACCTTAAAAAACCGACTATGGATCATGAAAGTACATATATATCCTCAAAAATCACAGTCAACAAACGGTCAAATAGACAAAGGACCAAATTGTGTTAAAATTACAAAGTTAAGGACTTAATTGGTTGAAATTGAAAGTCGAGGACCAATTTGTGAATTTAGCTATAGTCGATGGACCATTTTGGGTATTTACTCATGAATGTTAACTAACAACATAAAATTACTTGCACTTGTAAGTGACTTTACTTACACTTTTTACTTGCAAAGGTGCACCAGCTACTTGCACTTATAACACATTTATGTGCATCAAAGTTCAAATTATTTATGAAAATGTCACCGCGTCATTTTTTTAAAATTACATCTGATTTGTTGATATTAACACGTGAACGGCGTTGAATGGTTGTGTGTCTGCAAATAGGAAATCACGGGATGGAGTGGATGGTGGTCAAATGTGTTAAAATAAATCGGTCTGAAAGTGTTTTTTTGAACATTCAAATTAATGATTGAAACTAAGTGTGAAGCACTTCCAAGTGTTTTGATCAATTGCATATGTCCATGTATCTACATCAACGAGGACTAAACTTGATATTAGAGGAGTGAAAACAGTCTACGTAGGTTACAAGCAATGAGGCTATAAAATGTATAATCTCATGGTAAAGGAGATGATTGTCAGTTGTGATGTCACCTCTGCAGAAGATGAAGCATGGAGTTGGAGAGCGGATGTTGATCAAGATCTACAAAAATGAGTTGTTTTTGTTTTTGATAAAGAACATGTTGCTACAGCAATGAGGCTATAAAATGTACAATCTCATGGTAAAGGAGGTGATTGTCAGTTGTGATGTCACCTCTGCAGAAGATGAAGCATGGAGTTGGAGAGCGGATGTTGATCAAGATCTATAAAAATGAGTTGTTTTTGTTTTTGATAAAGAACATGTTGCTATTGAAACTCCAATAGAAATAGTTGCAGAACCACCTCGTGTTGTAACATCCGTTACAACACTTATTGAAAACCAAGGAGATCAGAACGACAATGGCAAATGTTAATGTGCTTACAAGATTATAATAAGGTAAATCGTGATGATGGTGAATTGGCTCACTATGATTTGTTAGTAGAAGTTAAGGATAAAAATTAGGTCAGACCCCTGCCTATAGCTTGACCTGGTTAGACCGGTAGACATGATCGACCTATTAGTAAATAGGTTAGGCTTAGGATTATTTATTAAATATGTTTAGGCCTATATAAATAAAGCATGGCTTACGAACCTACATGTCAAGCCTGTTTATAATATAATATTATTATATACCATCTGCAATATTATTCTTTTGTTAATTTTTTTCTACCTGGCGTCTACTGTCAGGGTTGTTACAACATCTGTTTCAACACATCTATGTTCTGCAACTTTATACATCAATTATTCTACATAAACACTCGTTAGTTGGGATTTTCTTAACCCATTGTGGGTGGAATTTGATACTAGAAAGCATAAGTGCGGGAGTGACATTGATTTGTTGGTCATGCCTTGCCGATCAATAGCTAAATCGGTTGTGTTGTTGCTCTCAATGGGGACTTGGTGTAGAGATAATAGAGCTTGATATGAATAGGGAGAACGTTGAGATTGTAGTGAGAGAGCTAATGGAAGAAGAAAAGGGTAGAGAGGTGAAGAAGAAGCCATTGCTTTGGAAGGAGAGAGCTG